CTTGAAGAACAGCTGCTTTTACGCATCATTTACGGCACCCGCTGCCGTTATTCTGAGATGACACCTCTTCTAGGTACAATCACACCACTGAAAGAAATGCGTGAAACCTTGTGTCACGCGATCTTCTAAAAATAAGGAAATGAATACTCTTATGGAGTGGCACGCGCTATAATGTCCCCTTTCCTTTTACAGTCGTTGACTTTTCGAGAGTGCAAGAACGTTCTCAAGAGAACGCTCTGTGCATCAATCTTCCGTCTCTCTCATTTTTAAGTCTGTTTATACTGATGTTTATATTCAAGCGTACGAATTTTTTGTTAATATACTGAAAAATTTAATAAATCCACGTAATATTCATCCCCTTTCTCACTAATTCATTTAAAATTAAGCAATCTTAATAAGAATAGAGGTTTTTTTTAAATTATAAAAAATTGACTATATCTTAATATTTTTTTAAATATTTGTAAGTGAACATTTACTTTCTCAATGAAAAAAAATGATAGTTAAATCAAATTAATGATCCTTGTATTAAATAAATATATGTTAACATTCAGTAAATGTTTACTTACAAATATTTAAATATTTTTATTACTATAATTGTAGTAAATATTTTTCAGTGTATACGTTAACTCGAATAAATTAATTCGAGCTAACAATCTTTCCCTTAACGGATTTTCTTTCGCATACTGTCGGAGAAAATTCGATCGATACTTTTCGTATCTTAAATCGAACAGTCGAAGTTCGCCCGAGTACAGAGATCGTTACAACAATCTATTAAACTATACGAATTCATTATAGAATATCTGCGGACAATTTAATTTCCGTCGTGACGAATGTGTGAGTGTATGTGTGCGCGATGAACTCTATTTCGGCATTGTCGCTGAACCGAACTGCATTTTGACATTCTGAAGAAGAACTGAGAGGACAAGAAAGACTTCTTGGGGGCAATTCTTGAGAGGGGCGATGTGCGTCGGGGGTTACTGAAACAGAAGTGGGACACTCGCGGCGAAAGGGGTTGGCCCTCGCGCACTGTGACAACTGTAAAACTCAAAACGACGTCGTCGTCGGACTTGGCTTCCGGCCATTTCCCGGCTATCGATCCATGAAGCGTTACGACGAAGCTGCTCCACGTGCAATTATAGGTGTATCGTGTGTATATAACACGCATCGGCAACCGGGCGCGTTATCCTCGTCCCGCAAGAATGATCCACGAAATTTGTGCCTAAATAAGGCTGATTCTTCATTGATTATACAAGGAGGAAACTCCGTTCGATCAAACTAACTTATCAGTAGAATTATCTTGTCTACTGTAATTTGAATTTATTAAATTGAATCGTTTAATCGAATTTTATTATATCTAGTCATAACGATTTCTGAGAAGTAACATTGTAAATTAATTACAATCCAATAACTAACAGCCGAAATTTCTTTTCGAACATTTCATATTCTTGTGTTTATTTTTTTGTATTTATGATAATAATAACATAATATATATATGTTGTCGATATATTATAAATCTTTATAACATTGACATTAACATGCGGTATATTAATATATCGCTGGCCGCATGGAAAAGAAACGCCAGGCTATTCTTGGCGCGAGATAAATCGGTGTGAACGACTCCAGGTGCATACACCGAGGAAACCCCTCGCAATCGTTCACAAACCCATAGCCGGTGAACAGTCGCACACGTATACAGTCGGAAGCGACCCAAATGCGAGTACAAACGCAGATTAATAACGCCGTTGCGATAATGAAATTGTTCACGTGACACGTGAAATTTGCGGCCACGTTTTCCGCGCGACGTGCCCATCGACCCAGAAATCGATCCGGAAATCTTCCCAGTGTAAACCGACGAGTATTCTTTTTACGTACCATTCTTATAATCAAAAGCGAATTCGTGCAGCGTTCGCGAGGGAGAGAGAGAGAGAGAGAGAGAGAGAGAGAGAGAGAGAGAGA